TCACGCCTTCCCATCATTGACATTGCACCCATGGACATTGGAGGACCTGAACAGGAATTTGGTGTGGACATAGGACCTGTCTGCTTCTTGTAAAACCCCGAATCTGAGAACCACACAATCCATTGCGAACCCAAAGGACCCAAATACTTTCCAGCCCCAGTCACTCTAGGATCTGCACTGAATGGCTAACCCGACCTGACGTCCATTCATCAACCCTCGCCGTTCGGACTATTTTCCCCTTTCTGAGAGACCTGAACTGGCAGACTGCAAAATAAAATCTTGGTGTTCTATTTATTTATTGTCTTCCTGTAAGACCTTTGGGTCAAGGCAGAGGCAGGGAACTAACTGGTGTGAGTCAAATGCCCCCCCGAGTGACTGCCCCCAGCCCAGCCAGAAGACCCCCACAGGTGCTGGGCCCAGGAACTTTGTGTCCTACACAATGGTGCTATTCTGTGTCAAACACCTCTGTATTTTTAAAAACATCAATTGATATTAAAAACCAAAAAATTATTGGAAAAGACACATGGATTTGTGTTTTGTTCTGTTGGTTTCTATTAACCCTTGATCTTGTAGGCATGCCCAAATATGGTCCCAGAGCTGTCTGCTGCCCTTTCAATCCAGGATGGTGATGTCACACTGCCTGGCTTGGTGAACACATACAACTGCGTTTGTAAGCTTTGGCACTTTGTAGAATCCAGTGGTGACCTGGGACCAGAGACGAAATTGAATCAGCCTTGTGCTATTGAGACAAAATACTTGACATTGGTTGCTTAAAAAATAAAGCAAGGTTCACAGTCTTGAGGCTCAAATGATAAAAATAATACGAAGTAAGATTAGAAAATGAGTCTTTTGTTGGATCTGTTAACAAAATTAGGTGGTCGTATTGATTTGGATCTTCGGTGAAGGCAGCGTGTCATAGCAGGACACAATCAAAGCCATTGCTCCTGCCTCAAGCCAGGAAGCAGAGTGAGAGGAAGAGACAGAGGTCCCACGGGGTCATTTGAGAGTCCGCCCTCAGCGACCTCCACTAGGTCCTGCTTCTCAAGGCTCCACCACCTAAGAGGATCACCCGGGGGGACCAAACCTCAGCACACACACCTTTGAGGGACGATATACTCAAACTTTGGATTCATTGTTTGGGAAGTCTTGGGAACCAGAGGGATGACCTTGTTCTTGAGGGGGAACATGGAGCACTGCTCTCCAGCAAGCTGGAGAAAAGGCATGGTACATGGAGATCTCAGAGCACATGGTTGCGTCCTGCTGGGTGGGAGCGATGGGAGACACGGAAAGCAGGGTGGAAAAGGGGGAACGGTGGGCAGGAGAGCTAATCCCCCGGGGCCACTGATGCAAACCATCTAGATGCTGTTTGCATCTTTCTGGAAGATTCTGGGGCAAGGGGATCAGGAAGTTGTCTGTAGTCATCACCCCCACCCCCTGCCCCTCACCCCATCCCCATCCACTCCACAGACTGTCTCTGACTCCAGACTGGAACAGAAAGCCTCCCTTCCTCTACCCCTTTCTCCACTAGAGGGTCATGATGGTGGCGATGTGTAAGTGGGCAGGAAATAAATTCCATGACAGAAGAACTCTGTGAAACAAATGTCAAAGCGTCTCATAAACATGACAGCCATGCTGTTCTCCGACCCTTTTACCCATCTTGCTCCCTTTGTTTGAAGCTGGCAGCTTTTCTTTTAGAGAAATAAGGAAAATAAATAAGGAAACTTGGGGGGGAAATTATTTGCATTAATATTCACCTTGTGATGTAAAATTAATTGAATGAAGTGCTAGTGCCAGGGCTACCTCGCGGCAATCAAGGAAGGAAAACAGCAACGTGATGTTTAAGAGTCTCATGCTCTACCAACTGAGCTAGCCGGGCGCTCTAACGTGAGGTTTAAAAACACAGTTGGTGCTGGGAGTGTAGCTCAGTGGCAGAGAGCTTCCCTAGCAGAATGCAAACCCCTGCCTGGGTTTGAGTCCCAATTCCATACACTTCCCCACGTAGTTAGACTACTTCATAGGGAAAACTAAGTTAACACCCATCAATGGAGAGTTAGGGATGGCAAGGGGGAGGCCCACCCACTGGGGTGGGCACATGTGAAACTTGTCTCAGACAGCAGGTGGCGCTGAAGAGCTGCTCTGAGTCGAGACTCAGAACTTCCCAACTCATTCCACTAAACTCTTCCCTCTATAGTGACCACTCAGAATAAAACGTCCAGCAGATCCTGATGGCTGGCCTAAAGCTCTATGGGAAGCCATGGGGTACCTGGGTCATTCCTTGTAGCCTACCTGCTTCCTGCCCTGGAAAACCTAGACATAAATGTAACTGCTCCCCAGGGAATGGAGAGAAGCAGCAAAAGGGGGGGGGGGGAGAGGGGAGCAGAGTGAGGATCACCGGTCTAATGACAAGGCACCGCTTGGCCTCCTGGGCTGCACCCCAACCTGGTCGAGGGCGGAAGGCGAACACAGTTTGGATTATTATTAAGTCCTGGATCCCTGATGCCCTAGGAAAAGCAGGAGGTCTCTCCAGACAGAATAAATGCATCGAGTAAATTCCCGAGCCAGCAGGGCTGAGCAGGGTGACCTGCTGATGACCAGGGCTCGATTGGGTTAGTTTTACAGCTTATAATTCTTTTCTCTGGGAGCACTTGCCATTAAGACTTGGGAGTAGGAGCCAGATGTTCAACCTCCAGGTAAGACTTACGGTCAAGTTGTTCCTAGTTTGCTCACTTCCAGAAAGACAATTCCTGACATTTCCTGAAAGTCTCCCCTCTAAATAACCAAAGGGACACACAGTATCTTCAAAGTAATGAAGAATTTCATTTAGAAAGAAAAAGAAAGATTATTCTGTCCCAGGGAAACAATCTGTGGCTTGTTGACAGGCAGATTCTTGTAATGATCTATTACATACTTTGAGCTCAATTCCCCCGGATAGTTGACTGGGATCTTAAAGGTCCTATGGTGAAGCAACCAGAATGGCACAATAACCCCTGGAGATAAACTGTGGCCTATATGAGGTCTGTTGAGCATTAAGTGTCTGGAAAAGAATGTGTCAGGAATTGCAAACCAAGCATGCAGCAGCCTTCAACACTTTGGGAGGATGTACAGATATGTAACTAAAGGAGATTTCTTTCTGTATGTAGTGGGTGCTCAGTCAGATGGCTTCATCAGCAGAGTGAGGCCAAGGGAGAAGACAATGCAGGCTGAGCTGCTGAGCAACAGGAAGTGAGGCACTTGGCCTACAAGGGTGACAACTTCAACCCTCAGAACCCACATTTAAAAACCTTACCAGATCGGAGAGATAGCTCAGCTGCCTGCTCTTCCAGAGGACCCACGTAGGTTCAAGTCCCAGTATCCACATGCAGCGGACAATCATCTGTAATGCCAGTCATAGGGGACTGCATACGGGTGACAGACATGTACATAAAATAACGGTATAACGGTGCTGGAGGAGACAGGCAGGTCCAGGGTCCACTGGCCACCCAGCCTGTCCCACACTTCACGATCACTATGAGACCATGCCTCAAAAAACAAAACAAAAAACAAAAAAACAAGGGTGGCACTTGAGGAAACCTGAGGTTGACCTCTGGCCTCCACATGCATGAACACGTATGCATGGACACGCACACACATGACTGACAGACAGTATGCTAAACCATGCAGGGACCCCAATGTGAAGTTTAGGATGCTAAAAATATGAGCAGATGTGAGACTGTGTAGCATTAGGAGACTACGGTCAACTGTGCTTGCTTCAATTGCTCTTATTTGATAGTAGCTAGGTTTTACAATATCAAACAGCAGCTGTCACTAAGGCATGCGGTCACACACACACAGTCACACACACACAGTCACACACACACAGTCACACACACACAGACACACACACTAAGTACCAAAACGAGTAGCCTTTTCAAAACTATAGAAAACATTTCGAGGCTATTTTTGTAAAAGAAAATAAACAACAACAAAAACAAAACGAGGGGTGGGTAGATGGCTCAGTTGGTAAAGTGCCTGTCACAGAAGCATGAGAACCTGAGTTCAGGTCCTCATCAGACATGTGAAAACTGGGTGTGGTGGTGTTCATCTAGAACGCAGTACTAGGTAGAGACAGGTGGAGACCTGGAGCTTTTGGGCCAGGCAGTCTAGATAACGATGATTCAGTGAGAAACTCTGTTGCAAAAAAAAGTAAGAAAGCAACTAGGAAGACACCTGACATCCTTTGGCCTCCACGCACAAGGATGGACGGACGGATGGACGGACAGACACACACACACAATCTAGAAAGGGAAATGGAATAACTGAAGAAATCATAGTGTGGACATTTTCTTATACGTGGGGCATAATTTTCTTAGGGCATCGGTTTTTAAAACAATGTGCTCGCTTTTTCCCTGGACATGCTGGCAACCTAATCAGCCTGATTACAGTGCTAAGCCCTGCAATTTTTAACTAAATCATGGGTATTATCAGCAAACTAGTTATCGTAGTTTGAAGGTTCAAAGGGTGAGGGTAATTAGACAAATATTGAAAATGAGGCCAAGAGAATGGGCGCAAAACCTAGTATTAAGCCCCATTGCAATCTGCTGTGGTACAGTGAGGGGCAGGAGCCCACCTCAGCTGAGCTCTGGACCTAGCCATTCCCTGCTCTGGCTATCTAGGTGATTAGAATCCAGCACTAGCTGGAGAAACTTCCAACCTCAAACCAGGTCTTCATATTAAGCCCGAGGAATCGGGAAGTCCCTGGAGAAACAGCTTCACTCCTCGGCATCGCTGCCCGTCATTTCCAACCTCCAGAGGGCGCTGTGTGCTCTGATCTGGAAGTGCAACCCCACCACTCTGCACACAGAACTGTGAGGTTGCTCCTGGGGCAAGCAGGACACACCGCTGGGGTACTTTGTCTTTTCTTCCCTAAGCACACCCTGCGGGATCCCCCTTAAGAAGCAACTCTTCCAAGTTCGTCTCATGGGTGCCTGCAAAGGCACACAGGCAAGCAGAGACAGTGCAGATCAATCAAAAACATGGTTTATTTTTCTATCAAATCCCCAATCCATGTCCAGCCAGTGGATCAAAGGTACATCAAGCCCAACAGTAGGCTGGGGGTGGGGGATGTAATAACTTTGTAAGGGAAAGGAAAAAAAAAACCAAACCTTTCTGTAAAGCTCCTGGGCATTAGGGAACAGATGGAGACAAATGCAGCTGTTGAGGGGCTCCTTGAAGGTCCTCTGGACGCCCCTCTTGCTGGTGGCTTCTGCGCACACTACTGCGGCACCCATACATCTGCAGCGTCACCAACATCCTACCTTCATGTCACTCTGGTCTGAAAGGCTAGAACCCTGGTTCATCTCAACAACAGCCGAAATAGCTGAATTCAATTCTTCAAGCTGTAATTGAGTGCTGACTATTTGCTAGGCACAGACTAGGCACTGGGCAGTGATTTTGCTGGTTCCAAGAAAGACACAAGGTGCTGTGAAGACGGCTCTCCCGTAAGTGCGGAAGGATGCTTTCTGTGGGTTCAGAGAACCACTTCCTCCTCCCTTACCCCATGCAGGGTCAGCACGGACGCTGGGCTGTGGGGGCAGATGTTAGCTTCCTTCTACAGGTGCAGCCGCTGGAGAACTAAGGGCAGGCTCTAAACAGCTGTGGAATTCGCCCCGCAATCCACATAGTGTTGTGTCTCCAAGGTGCTCTGGGACACGTGGCCAATGTATGAAATACTCACAGACGTCCTAGCAAAAAGAAGATCATGAAGAGACTAAACAAACAGGAAAAACTTTTTTCTTCTTACAAACTGAGGGGCTAGAACTCATCTGGGTCCCAGGCACCTATCTTCATGGTTATGTAACCAGGAGGCCAGTGGACCTATGTTCTAAAGTGCTGTGTCACGAGGTGATGTTCTGGGTCAGCGGCTACTAACCGGGGATAGTTTTACCCCATGGGAGCTTTTGGCAACATGTGGGTATCTTTGGGTTAGTTACAACTGAGTGGGGCAGAGGGTGGTAAGCACGCCCAACAGCAAGCAGAGGCAAGGGATGTCACTGCTAAGCTTCCACAGTGCAGTCTCTGGTGACAAAGAGCTCACTGACCCCAAGTGTCAACGGTGCCAAAGCTGAGAAACTCCACTCAAACCCTCAGATTTCAAATGTCTGTCCTACTGAAGTCTGTCATCTTTACATTTAATAGCCACAGCTGCAAGACTAGGAACTCTGTCACTGGAGAGTAAACTGGAAATACTTAGTACTTGCACCTTGAGAAAGCTGGTATGATTTTCACTCCCGAGGCTTCTGACAGGATCACATGTTTAGTTAAACTAGACCCCATTTTGGGTAGAACATTTCTTTTAGTTTTTAAAAAACTGCTTATTTTATGTGTATAGGTGTGGTGCCTACACATGTGTCTGTGCACAATAAGTATGTGTGGTCGCAGGGGCCAGGAAAAACGTATCGGATCCCCCAAAACTGGAGTCAGACAATTGAGAGCTGCCACGTGGACCCTGGGAATCAAACTTGGGTCCCTCAGAAGAGGAGCCAGTGCTCTTAACTGCTGAGTCATCTCCCCAGCCCCCAGAACATGATGTTCCTGGCAGCCTATGCAGGGGCACTGGGCTCCACCTCTAGAGAACACCACCAGACTGCCGGGTCTGAGCTGCGAGGCAGGTGGCGGGTCTGCTTGCAGTCACACGCCTCTAGTGAGTGTGGGAAGCTCCCAGGTGGCCCCAGGCGGAGGGAAAAGCCAGGAGGAGAGAGGACAGAGGACATACCTCAGGAAGATCACAATGTTGTGCACCAGGACGGCAGGTACCGTGCAGATGAAGCTGTGGACCACAAATACGGACATGGTCAGTCGGCTGAAAACAGAAACAAGAACAGTCTCCCAGGAGAACCGGCAGGACAGGGTTCAGTTACACTACCAAACTATTTGGGGTACCCCCCACTTCGAACCAAAATAACTGCCAAGGACCAATGGTTCAGAGACCCTCAAAGTGTCATTCTCAATGTCCCAAATCATGCTCTCTGCTTTTCAAAGTCATCACATATTTAAATTCTAGAGTTTGCTAATGTTTCTAAATTTCTTTAGAAATTTCAGCATTTCAGTCACATATCAAGTGATTATTTCCTCCCCAAAAACTCTCCAGAAAGCCAAAACTCAGGACTCCACAGGCCAAATCTGGGGCTTAAGGTAGAGCTGGGGACACAGTCAATCGAGGAGGACTCTGAATCTCTTCAGGCAGGCAGCACAGTACAGAACTCTGTCCTTACTACACATAGGAAGATGGTCCTCCCACCTCAGCCTTCACAGTAAAATTCACCTGAAAAGCAAACAAGACCGGGCATCAGCCTGTGACAAGCAAGCTCTACTTACAGCATCATTGCTGAACCATTCCCCCATCAAGGACAAAGCCCCTTCCTGCGCCCGGGAGCCTGGCCTAAGTACTTCCCACCCCTTCCTTTGAGAAGCCTCTGGCTTCAGGCTGTAATTCCACCTCTCTTATCAACTGTTTTACTGGCCAAGGTCTTAAATGCTGTTTTCTGTCTGTTTCCGATTGTTCATAATGACAGAGCCCACCAGGTCTTCCCCGGATGGAACTGAGAGGAAAGGAACGGAACTCCGGCATTCCCACAGGATTCCCACAGCTCCCATCCTCCTCCTTGGTAAGTGGGCGGAGGCCCTTCACACACAACATACCAGATGCTCACTCCGAGGGGGAATGAGTGAGACGTTAGTGGCCACATAGGTGCCAACCACAGCTTTCATGTACTGAACCTGGCTAAACAGGTGGGTCACTGCCACAGGATAGAAGTTGGAGTTCCTGATTTTCAGGGTGGCCTGGAAAGCGCAAGGGAGGAAATGAGAGTTAAGTGTCCTGGTCCCAAGGCTGCCAAGTGCACAAGCCTGGAGTGAGGCCCTAAGTCTTACCATGACATCAAGCATTACAAGGGAGTCCTGTTTATTAAATGTGACTTTCACCACTCGGATGCCATTGTCATCCACGAGGACTGAGTGTGGGAACAGGAAGAAAATCACCAAGCCGGATGCCAGGAGACAGAGCAGGACCGACAGGAGGACGTACTGTTTACTGCAAAGGACAGCACAGGGCGACCAAGGGGGGCAGTCAGATATCAGAGTCTAAACTGTCATAATTAACACAAAAGGTAGGGGTGAAGCACAAAGAACCCGGAACCACAAAGTAAGCAAGCAGGGGGAGAGCACTCGAACGCCATTTTCTCTGGGACGGGAAACCGATCCCTTTATTTCCTAGAACATCTGCTCACCTCCTAGGACACCCTGCTTCTCCAATTCCTTCCACTCCACCCTTCCATTTGACCCTCAACGTATGTCCAGCCTCACATTTCTTTTCCCAGACTGTAACAGTGGCAGGGACATTTCACTAAAGCAGAAGCACCAAAGGAAATGGCGAGGGTATAGTGCGGGGAGGAGTGCTGGCCTAGCATGCAGGAGAGTCTGGATTCATGCCCCAGCAGTACCAAAAAAAAAAAAAAAAAAAAAGCAGTAACAGTAAATGAATAAAGGAAATGGGGCAGATGCAAGGGCAGACATATTTTTCAAATAATTAACCATGAAGTAGCCTTTCATAAAAAGGAGTCAGGGTCAGAAACAGGTGTTAGCAGATGAGAGCAGGTCAACTCACGTTCTCTGGGGGCGTAGCCTCTGGTCACCGTGGGGGATCAAAGCCACCAACTCGTTGAGTTGCTCTAGAAAAGCAGCAGAGACTCACTGTGCAAACCCCACGTATTGGTAGCCCTTCTGTTCACATTTCGCTGCAAACTGCCACAGCAAAGATTCATCTGGGACCAGACACTAAAGAGTACAGTTTTGACTGAATGAACAAGAAACAGGTAAATGTAGAAACAGAACAAAGAAAAGAAAGCTGAGGAAATAAGAAATATAAACCTATAGAGAATGGCACAAATTACAAGACTTCTACTGGAGTTGTCAGAGCCGTGGCACCTGGGGAACCCGGAGTCGTAGTCTGACCTTACTGTACTGTCTTTGGCAAAGCCACAGAACTTCTTAAGGCCACTGTTTCCTCACTTTTCATCATTTGGAGCTCTGGAGTACATGGCTTCCAAGGTTCTTAACAGCTCTAAACCTGGGGACCCCTTCCCCCAGGGCCAATTTAGTAACAGCTGGTCCTAGAGATAATCCAGTCTCCATGCTTGACCCTGTCGGGTCTCTCCCGACCCCTGGAATTCTGTTGACCTCAGGATACTGAGTCACCGGCAGAGAAACAGCCTTGTCAACAAATCCCACAGCAGAGAAATAAATGTTCGAAACGAGAGCGGGGCCTCCACGATAGAGCTGATTAATGTTAGGAACCTGGGAAGTCTCATTGGGACACTGTCTAGATTAGATTAGGCTGGCCAGCAGGCATGTCTGAAGTGATTTTCTTAACTGGGTTAACTCAAGTCGGAAGACGTTTCATAGGCTGGGTCTTCCACTGAATGAAAAGGGTGAAACTGAGTACAAATATTCCTTGCTGTCTGCTTCCTATGACTACAGTGTAACCGGGCAATCTTAAGTTCCGCTGTCCTGACTTCCCCCCAGTGACAGACTATGACCTGGAGCTGTGAAGCAGAAAAAACTCTTTATCCCCCAAACTGCTTCTGCCAGGGCATTTTCTCACAGCGACCAGAAAAGATACCAAGGAATAATACAGTAGAAGTTGTGGTTGTTTGCTGCAGCTTTAGGCAATGAAACGTGAACCACAAAACTCAACAAACCCACATCAAGTTTATTGGAAAAGGGCTGGGAGGGGTAGGTGTTGGCCAACTGGGAACAGAGTTGGAAGGGGGAAGGGAAGAGAAAAGAGGTGAAGAGACACGGAGACAGAGAGAGGAGAGGAGAGCAGAGGAGAGGGAGACAGGAAAAGTCCAGTCTGCCCCGGGGGGAACGGCAGGAAAGAGGGCAGTGGGAGAGAGGAGAACCGTTAAGTGGGCAGGGTCTGTCTTTTAAATGGGTCCTTTGCACCAGCGTGCAGACTCCATGGAACCCTGGGCTGACCAGGGTACCGCCTGAATGCATTCCGCCAGGTGACAGGGGCAGGCCAGCATAATGCCTGAATCCTTATAGAAGTGAAGAAAAGAAAGGGTTCCAAATATCCGATCAAAAGAAGCCTACGATCTGCCCCAGGCTATCACGTGGGCCGAGCTGGCTACAACTCAGGGCAGTGTGTGACCATAAAGGGAGGGCTGGCTGGGGCAGACGCCAGCTTTCCATGATGGCTGACAGGTCTCACCTGCTGGGACGTAGCCCGCTCCTTGGCAGGTGTGACAGGTGATACTGTTTCTCCCCGTGAATTCCACATAGGGGAAGTGAGCGATGGCTTCCTCCTGCTCCCTCTCGGACTGCAAGTCCTCCAGGTTGTCATCCTTCTTCCGCGGACAAAATGTGCGGGCAGAGGAGGAATGCTGAGACCCCATGTGTCATCTCCTACACGAGGTGCGGGGATGTGCGAGTGTTAGTGTCTACATCGGGCCACTACAGGAAAGAAAAATCACTTCTACAAGAAATGTGAGATACTAACTGACAGGTTGCTACCTAAGTGTGGGCAAAATTCCTACCGTGGCCCTCATTTTGCAACAGCGTCCTGTGTCGTCCACCCCCCACCCCACCCCCAGGTAGCTAGGGAATGGGACCTGCCCTCGCTGGATCAGGCCGCCTCGCACTGCCAGGGAAACCCCAGCCCCCCGCGGTCTAGCCTCGCCCATTCCTCCCTACTCTTTGCAAACTCTGAAAGGCAAACAGGCTGCAGCCCCGACGGACAAACATCAGGCACCAAGTCAGTAAAAGGCCTCAGCGATCCCGCTCCTCCACTCCCAGCTGAGGGGGCGAGCTCAGGTCACGCCCCCGCCAAAAGCTACGTTCCGAAGGCCCTGCGGCGCACCAACTCACTCCGGGCAGTTACTCTCGGGACCACTCCTCCATCCACCTGCGCGCTTCAGCGACTCTTCCTCACGCCTCTCCCGTGCGCACGCGCACAATCGCCAGCCGGCCGGAGGACGCGGGCGAGCGCCTGCGCCTGCGCTCTGGTGCGTCCCTCCCACCGCGCAGCTGCAGTGCACCTAGACGCCGGTAGAGGGCGGCAGAAAGCAGAGGAGACGCTCGCCGAGGGGTGGGGGTGGGGGTGGGGGTGGGGGTGGGGGCGGGGGTGGGGGTGGGGGGGGTAGGTAGAATGCACCTCTGTGCCCCAGAAACGCTAGGAAAGGTTCACTAGAGCTTCCGGATCCGAGCGTTTTTGTGTGGAAAGACGGCGGCGCCTGTGGCCAAAGCCATTCCCACAGCACAGAGACTCGGAGTGTAAAGATACTCAACACCCAGATTCTGCCCTAGGTCCCGGGCCCGCTGCTGGCACAGGATCTGAATGCCTGAGAGCATATGGAGACCCACTGTGACAGGGGCCCCAGAGCTGACTGCGTGGGGGGAAGCTTCCGCCAGAGTCCTGCTAGCTAGCCACGGGAATGAAGCCCAAAGTTCAGTTTTGCAAGCTGGTCCTATTTAGAGACCACTATCCACAAAGAAACGTGTGCTGAACGTAAAGAGTTCCAGAGAGCCCCCCTAAAACCAAAGTGCCACAGAAACGAATGAAACGGGTGAAAAGGGCTTAAGATGAGGCTGGGAGCCCCATGCGATGGTGCATGCCAGCAATCTCAACGATTGAGATACAGGCAGCAGGACCACCACGAGTTCAAGGCTAGCCTGGCCACAAAGTTTGAGGCCAGTCAGTAAAGTGAGGCTGTTTTAAACCAAAACATAGAAGAAAGAGAGGATTTATTTTGATAGGCTGAAACTGGACGAATTAGGACCCATGTGAATGGTAAGACTGGCCACCACTCTCTCCCACACCTCCTTATGTCACTGCGGGAAATGTGGATGGTTCTTGTAGCTGTCTGGACACTGTCTAACTGCTGGCCACCACTGGTGTGAACCTTTACTGTGAAACCAAGAACCATCACCCCACTCCCCCTTTGGTCCTCAGCCATTCCCTGAAATGTATTTACATAACTCTTTGTGTTTCTTTCTTCAATAATCTGATGATGTTGGGAGAAATGAACACTCGACTAAAAATATATTGCTCAGCTCCCACGTGCAGTAGTTAGTCATGTGACACCGTTCTGGCCAATGAGGGGTAAGAGTGTAGAATTCTTTTCTAGGACACATCCTTAAAGGAGATAGAGACTCAAGTGATCCTCTGGCTTTCCCTACTTGCACTTTGAGCTTGATGTTAGAGATTAGAGCAGCTATATGGTGACTAAGAGGCCATGCTGCACAGAAGAATAAAGGAAGTCTAGTCCCTGATAGAATGCTCAGCTACTGAGCATTAATGTCTTCACTGTGGGACACGATCCTAACAAATACAGAAACTTTGCAAATAAAGAAGAAGGTCTTAAGCTGGGCAGTGGTGGTGCACGCCTTTAATCCCAGCACTTGGGAGGCAGAGGCAGGTGGGTCTCTGTGAGTTCGAGACCAGCCTGGTCTACAAGCGCTAGTTCCAGGACAGCCTCCAAAGCCACAGAGACATCCTGTCTCAAAAACAAAACAAAACAAAACAAAAAGAAGGTCTTATCCCAGCATTTGGGAGGCAGAGGCAGGCGGTTCAAGACCAGCTTGGTCTACAGAGTTAGTTCCAGGACAGCCTCCAAAGCCACAGAGAAACCCTGTCTCGAAAAACAAACAAACAACAAAAAAGGTCTTGGTTTGTTTGGATGGCTGGTTTTGGTTTGGGGTTTTTTGTTTGTTTTGTTTGTTGTTTTGTTTTTCCAGACAAGGTTTCTCTGTGTACTTCTGGTTATCCTGAAACTCACTCTGTAGACCAGGCTATCCTCAAACTCACAGAGATCTGCCTGCCTCTGCCTCCTGAGTGCTGGGATTAAAGGTGTGTGCCACCATGCCCAGCCAAAGACTTGGTTTTAACACGTGCAGACTGCCTTAGCCACACGGTGTACCCTCTGCCAGCTTTGGCTCTTAGAACACCTGCCCTTCAACAGAGGGGACTCAGACCTGTCAGAGCCCTGCCCAGCATAGGTTTTCCTACATGAAGAGGAGCAATTCACCTATAGAATAACCCTGTTCTCTACCAAAAGATCAAATGTAACCTCGCAGAGGATCATGCTCACAAAGGTGTCCCCACACGTAGCCTCTACCAGACACCCTGCTGGTACTAACATGACAATAAACCCAATGTCCACACCATGTCCAGGCCTTCTGGTGGGAGCAGGGAGAAGCAGACAGCAACCCACCCTGTCAGCTCAAGAGGACAAGAGCCTAGAACACTGCGGCTGCTTCAGGAAGAGGCAGGGCTTGGGTTAGCAGGCTAAGAAAGGGGGCCTGGAGCGTCACCAGCAGAACCCTGAGGTTCTTTGTCTGCTCCTAAAAGTGTGGCTGGGTAGACAGACCACACACCTGGGTCAATGTTAGCTCCCACCTGGAATCCCAGCAAGCAGTAAGCCCTTAGTAAGTCCTTACATAACTACCCAGCCTGGAGGCTGGCCAGCATGGCCTGAGGGAATAGTCCCTGCATCTTCTTGAGCCATCTTAAAGAGTCTTAATTGGCCAGCACATTCCTGAGGAGACAGCCATCGTTTCTCACCTGTGTTTAGCTTCCAGATTTGTCTCACCAGCGGATTTATGAGTATTGGGGTTACTGTAGACATGAGCTCACTGGGGCTCTTGGGGTGGCCAGGGCGGAAGCAGGGGCCATCTGGGCATCTCTTCTCCATTTCTCCACAACCATTATGGGCCCTAGCCCCACAGACTGAAGATAGTGAGGCCCTGAGAATGCTGCTCTTTCTAGAGGCAGGGGAGGGCCTCTGCTCATCCTGAATCCCCTCCCCCACCCCCACTACTCAAGTGAGATGCTGCAGAATTCTGAGCTGTTAAGTTCCCCGCACTGATGGAAACTAAGGACTCGCACTTAGAAGTGCTCTCCAGGGTATTTCATTCTTCCCCTTTTGTTTATCCATAGATGAGAAACCTGTGTAAGGTTAAACAGCACTCAGTTAGAGAAAATGACAGGACCGCTGCTCCTCGTTGGTTGCTGAATGGTACAGAAGAACCTGGCTACTCATTAACACTCAGAGAGCAGAGCTTTAGCCTCTGCTGAAGCCACTGTGACACACACACACACACACACACACACTCACACACTCTGCTGAAGACACTGTGAGACACACACACACACACACACACACACTCTCTCTCTCTCTCTCTGAAGGGACACATGAATCCTTTAAAGTTTTTTGTGCTGTCATTTTTTCTCTCATGAACCTGAGGTCTCTGAGCTGGTGTGTCTCCAAAGTGAAGGCCCAAGGGCAGTTCTTTAAGGCAAGGAATGGAGAAAGAGAGAGAGCAAAGAAAGGAGAGGACCCTTTGTGTTTGAGAACTCTGCAGGGGGCTGGAGAGATGGCTCAGAGGTTAAGAGCACTGGCTGTTCTTCTAGAGGTCCTGAGTTCAATTCCCAGCAACCACTTGGTGGCTCACAACCATCCATAATGAGATCTGGTGCCCTCTTAATACTATATACATAATAAATAAACAAATCGAAAGAAAGGGAGGAAGAGAGGAAGAGAATTCTGCAGCCCTAGAACATAGGATGGGAAGCATCTGGGAAGAAACTAAGATACAGGGAAGTTGACAGCTCATCTGTGGTGGTAGGAGCAGAGTCCTGTCAAGGAACTGATAACACTTCTAACCCCCCAAAGCCAAGCACCAAGCCGCGTTCCTCAGCCATGGGAACGACATCATCAGAGCTGCGTGCAGCACTAGGGAGGAGGTTCCACTTGCTTGTGCTGTCCCAGATGTAACTCGGGTGTATCTCGAGTGTCCTAGGTGCAAGGGGTGTTATAAATTCCTCCCAACCTTGAGAACCCAGAAGAAATCCAATTTGACTAGAAGTCCAATTTAGAGTCACCTCCAGTGGCTAGCCTGGAGTTTGAGGTCAACTCTCCTTTCCCAAGGTCACTCAAATTCTGTGATGTGCTGTTAGAGCCCAGGAGGCAGGCCACAGAGAGAGCCCTTTCTTCTCAGAGCTGAAGTATGGTGGTTTGAAAGAAAATGCCCCCCAAAGGGAGCAGCACTATTAGGAGGTGTGGCTTTGTCGGCGTAGATACGGCCTTATTGGCGGAAGTATGTCATTGTGGAGGCGGGCTTTGAGGTCTTCTATGCTTAGGCCACGCCCAGTGGTTCAGATCACTTCCTGTTGCCTGCACAAGATGCAGAACTCTCAGCAACCTCTCCAGCACCTTGTCTGACTACATGCTGCCATGTCCTGCCACGATGATCATGGACTGAACCTTTGAAAATGTAAGCCACCCAAACTAAATGTTTTCCTGTGGTCATGGTGTCTCTTCACAGCAACAGAAACCCTAACTAAGACAGTCCAAAACACCAGTCTAATAGAGGAAAACCATATGTATGGAATAGCCATACAACACATCTCCTCTGAACATTGCAAACACCTCCATTGAAAGATGACTGAAAGAAATAAAAACCTTTTCTGAGACCATGCAGGCCAATGAGTGATGGGTAGATACACCCTGAGAAAGTGGACAGACTGAAGAGTCAGCGGTGGCAAACCCAGAAGGGTGATGAGCCGCACAGGAGCCAGAGCGGTGCCTGAGATTGAAGGGCAGTGATGAGCTGCAAGAGGGTTTTGTAAAGCGGCATCCCTGTCTGATCCTCAGGTGTCCCCCACCTCCTCCTTCCTTAGCGCCTGGTGGCGGCCTGGTCCTTTGCCTCCACTGAGGCAAATGCTAGCCTTCTTGCTATTGGCTGGTTCCCTGACTTGATTAAATATGGTAATTTACTAAGTATTATTGGCCAGGCACTGAGTCGGCTGCTCTGGACATGCCATCTCATTCGATCTTCCCAACTTTACAGACTGGGTGGTGTCCCCCACATCTGACAGATGAGGTGCGTGTGTGGCTACCAGAGTGATGAGCTCGCCCAGCCTCACATGACTGGGGGAGATGGATCACAGCATCTCCAGCATGTTTGCAGTCCTTCCGCTTAGTCGGGGGGGGGGGGGT